CGGCAAAATGGGGCAGGTTTCACAGCAACGCGAGCCATTTGTTTGTCATCAGTGGCTAGAGGATCGCTAGTAGCCATAATAAATATGAATAAATACAGATAAAAAAAGATCAAGAATACTGTTGCAGTACACGTAAAGAAACACAAAATAATTAATGTTAGGACCTGGGTTCTGATGATCTAGAACATGAGAAATATAGGAAAAAAACTCACCCGCTTGACGAATACATACGAATCCATGTGCGGAATAAAAGGTAAAAAAATATCAACTTGATGTACAGAAATTATCCACTCGCTTGATGTTGGAACACTATCACTAATGGAAGATGAAGGTACTCCGCATGTCTGAAAGATGATCACAAATGGAACATGAAGGTAATCCACGTGGCTGTAATATGATGAAACTGATGCACGATCCAATAGACACGATAAGTAATCCAATACACATAAGTAAAAAAATATTGGTTCAGCTGCATTTCGCACATTATTACAAGGTCTTGTTTAAGCACAAAATTTCTGCTGTACTATAAATTTCGACGATTCATTTGGCTTAAGCCTCACCGTCCTGAAGTCACCATTTGTTGCACGTGGTTGCGGCTGTGTGCAACAACAAACTATGCGTATTGGAATTTGCCAGTGCTTTTAAGGATGAATTCATAACATGCCATAAGAGCCAATTTTTGATAACAAAAACATTTAATCACATCACAATATTAAAACTTAATTACTACAGTCGACAGACAATCACGTTGGAGGAAAAGCGAGCGACCAACCGCACCGACGACGAGACGTGACTGTGTGTCGCCGAAATCACCTTCGGTTACAGTTAGTGATAACGGCGCGCGGTTGGCGAGTACAAAGTTTACAGTCGCCACAATTATCCTAATTACTGAAAAATTTGTACTTCACATATATATATGTAAACATATATACATGGGTTTAAGCATATTTTTTTTAATGTAAAAGAAGTAATACATGCTATAGAAAAAAAATTGATGCATAGCAAATTTTTTTTATTATGAAATGGAAAAAATGGCATTAGTAATTTCTAAGAAACAGTATAACTTCGGCAAGATCTTCTTAATATTTCTGTATTTCTTCAAAGGCCGTGCAGAAATCATGTTTGTATTTTTTCATTTTTATATCTAAAGGCTCTTGGTTCTTAATTTTCATGGGCTTTGCCTTAGCCTTTTCAATATTATCCAAGTATTCTTCAAAATCTAATTCATCAGTGGAAGAGGATGATAGAAACTTAATTGAAATGTCTGCAGTTCGAATGTCCTGATTTAAATACTGCAGTTGTTCTGAAAATAATTTTATTCTTAACCCGGGAGGATGTGTGCTGTATTATGTAACACGAGAATGCGCATGGGGAGTGTCAACACACCCCAAGCAATTAAATGACGTACAAATGAAACATATTTTACAATTCAATAAAAGAATACATTTTTTAATTGCAACATTTTTTTAAAATTTTTTTTTTTAAAATAACGCTAATTTTAAAATTAATAGCAAATAGATAATTTTTTTCAGATTTTTAGGAATCATTGATTTCTATGAGAAATGTCTGTTTTTTATTTGTGAATGCAATTATAATCCAAATTATGCAGAATTTTTACATGAACAATGAGTTACATAATTAATATTAAAATCAATTAGGCCCAAGAAGCATTATATATTTTGTAATATGTACATGAAGCATCTATTTCACAGTGCTCTCGACATATGTTTTTTACACTTCACACATATAGTTTATGATATTCTGTCTTTTTTCCCTTGAGCACCTGTAACATCTCCTGTATTTTATATATATATATATATATATTTGTGGTTCATCAAATCATTTTCTGTAAGAAATTGGCCAATTCATAACTGGTATACCATTTGTCTGTGGTAGTGATTCTTCCAGATTTATATAATGGAGACAGGACGTGCTTTGCTATTTCACTAGAACTGCTGACTTTCTTGTACGGCCCATCTGGCTGCTGACATGCGTAAATTTCCATGTTGAAAGCATAGAAGGTTCTAGAATCAATCATAGCAAATATCTTTATACCATAGGTATATACTGCCGAAAGGAACATCGTCCTCGGAAAGGTTCTAGCTTTTCGTTCAAAGTCATGTATTTCCCTGCATGATATGACTCATGATCACTAAATATATCTTCATTATCTGAATCTTCTAATGTTTTCTATAGAATCTTCATCCGACGAAACCCCTTGTAATAATTCTTGAAGTCTTTTCATTTCTTGATCATACGTCAAATGAGGAAAAGACCGAACAGAGTGACTTGCACACTTCAAGGCTTTACACTGAAAAATAGTAACACGAAAGCGCGCATGGGGTGTCGGCATACCCCAAACTATTATTTAAACAACAATAAATGCTCGGAATTTGCTGTTTCCTCTCGAGCCGTATAGAACATGGCCTTGAAGGCAGCTACTGATGCACCTAAGCATTTCGGATCGGATTATAGAGGCAGATTGCCAGCGAATTTTTTTCGCGTGGGGTGCCGAAACACCCCACACGCGTCAATGAAAGTTTACAGATGGCTTTATTTGCGTTTTTAAGTTTGTTTATCATCCAACAAAATTTAGCGTTTTGGATGTATATATATTGAACCCAGCAAGATCATATTGTCTAGCAAACTAGTTTCTCTTTTCTTCATTGACGAAATGATTTCTTCTGCAATAAACCCTCCATTTCAGAAAGAATAAACATCGAATTCTTCCATTCTCGCCTCCTGTTAATTCTTCAGATTGTAACTTTTTTGTGGCTAGATACAGTGTAGAAAGAAGAGTTTCCAATTCTGCAAGATCATTCCACAATCTTTCTGTTAGTGAAACATTAGAGTTATCTACAACTTCTGAAAACGTTCTTAATTCTAACAACCACCATTTCATCAAATATGTACTTCTCCATTGTGTTGCTCGATAAATAATAGCTTCTTTTTCTGCTCGCTTCCTAAAAACGGCATCAGTTTTGGGAGTTCTTTTTGTTATTGCTGCTTATCCAAATTTACCAATGAGATTTGTAACTAAAGGAATCAGTTTAATTAATAATGACAAATAGCGCGTCCATCCTGCTCCCTTATATTTATTTATTAATATGTCAATAAAATAGAAAATAACTATTTATTAATATATATAGTTCATAAATAAAAATATTAACTGAGTTTGACATTAATTTTTTTTTTTTTTTTTTTCAATTCACTTTAATTTCATTTCAAATTCAAACTGTCCAACAAAAACTGGAGTCAGAGTCGACGTGTTTTTAGCGACTCTAACTGCTTTTACCCAAAAATCTACCCAACTCCGATTCCGACTCCACAGTCCTGCCTGTTATGCATGTACAAGAATATATCAGAAAGTTCACAGAATAGCTCTGTTGATAAAAAAATTATATTGTTTACCTATGATTCGAACATGATTCGTTTTCAAAACGCTCATCCTGAGCAGCTATGCACCATTCCCATTAGCACTGCAACTACTGGAATGCAGCCTTGAAGTCATTATGTTTTACAATCGATGCTGCATTTCGTCTGTCGTAATAATTCTAAATGTGAGAGATGGATTACCCTCAGCATGCACATGAAGATCTTAACAATACAGTGATGTGATGATCCTTCTGCTCAGAAGTCAGCAGATGGGAGGGGGCAAACTCAGCACCAACATGCTACATGTTTAGTTTCACAATTCGAATTGTCTGCGTTGACCCATTCAACATAACAATCTCTCTAGTATAGCAGATTTTCTTCCAACAGTCTGCATGCACAAGTTCCTGAGTTTGATCCACATTTTTGGAGATGAGGCTGATGTAAAGTCTTCAGATAGCCCATCATCTTCAAGGGACATTTTTCTGCCTTTGAATCACCCAAGCCATTCAAAGTATTTCAGCTAATTCTCACATCATAATTTTGCCAAACTATGGTAAGCATCTCGGTGATCAATTTGCTCAGTTTAATGGGACATTTTGTGTTCATCTGCAATTTCCTTTCCATCATCCATAATGTAAGTACATATTACCATGCACATGCTATCACATAAACATCACCATAATAATTTTCAGTACTAATTCATAAGTCAAACAACAAAAATCAGCGTCAATTTTCAAAATTTTCACAGGACTAATTTCGATGGTTTTACCGAACCACCATCAAAACCGCAATTCATTTGCGGTTTTGCAGCTTTGCAGTACTAATTCATAAGTCAAACAACAAAAATCAGCGTTAATTTTCAAAATTTTCACAGGACTAGTTTCGATGGTTTTACCAAACCACCATTCTCTTTGCAGCTTTGCAGCTGAGGATGGTGGGTTCGGTAAAACCATCAAAACTAGTCCTGTGAAAATTTTGAAAATTAACGCTGATTTTTGTTGTTTGACTTGTGAATTAGTACTTATTCGGCGTGTTGTGTCTTAATTAACTTTCAGTGTTAATATACCAATTTATCTTACAACACTGCCTTATTGAGACTAAGATTAATACATACATATGGGTGCAACCCGGTATTGCCATTTGTTGCATCCTATAGAGCTAATTCAGGAATTGTTTTGTTACAACCAGGTATTAATATTTTCATTCATTAATTTTTTTATTTGATATAAAATCACTGCTTTTAAAATCTGCTGATTTTTCTAATAAGTATATATGTCTTTTTTCCTTTCTCCCCTCTACCATGTACATTATTTTAGCCATCTGGGCCTGCTGGCTTCTTCTCTAACTTTTTTTAAAATTTAATATTTTCATAAAGATATTTTATTTCATTTATAATCAACATCAAGTTGGTGATATAAGTCATAAATATTTTGCTATTCCTTTATTTCGAGACAGAAGCTACAAAGAATATATTCCATTTTATTTGTGTTTGAAAACTGGGCCTTTGTTGATTTTGTTTGGTTGTTTGTTTTGTTTTTAATTTATGTTCGTCTGTTATTTTAAGTTATGGTTTGGTTTGCAATTTTCCTTCCTACCTTTTCCCTTCTTTCCCCATTTATCATCAGGAGCAAGTGCTACAGCAGCAAGAGAGGATAGAAGAACTAGAAGAGGCATTGCGAGAGAGTGTTCGTATTACAGCTCAGAGAGAGGTAGCAGTGGCCCAGAAGCAGTCTCTTATTGAAACTGCTGATGAAAAGGTATAAACAAATTATTCATTTTTTAACAATAGCTATATATTAAAAAAAAGCCTATAATTGAATAAACATCACTCTTAGCATCAATAAATTGTTTGGCATAATCACTGAATAAGAAAAAGTAAATTATATACGAGGGTTGGAACTTTAATAGTGGCAACACAGCTGAAAAAACGCTATGCAACAAAACCAAAGAATATCGCGTATACCACACGTAAACTACATACCTACCTTACCTCTCAGCAAAAAGACTCGTCCTGTCTACGTCACGCGCATGCGGAGTGACGCGAAGAACGAATCCTTGTATTAGCTCGCGGTCACAAGCATCTAGGTACAGCAGGGTCACAGCGCGGCGCGCATGCGCAATATGTTCTGCGACCAATATGAGGGTTGTACCAGTTTGGCGATGATTTAGTCACGCCTTTACCGGGCCGGTTACTTGCTAGTGAGCTCTTGCGTTGCTGGACTTCCTATTCTTTATCCGTCTTTCTCCTCCTTACTGCGGACATTATGTGAAGATAGTTCTATGTTTATTGTGCCCATCCGGCATAAATTTGATTGAGTCAGATAAACTACTGATCTCAGTGGTATTCTGGCTATAAGTTATCAGTCAGTCAGTCAGGCGATGATTTTGTTCATCTTCACAGCAGTCACAAAGCGGTATGTTGGCGGTGAATTTCGCGTATATCATAGCAAAAGAATGAACTTAAAACATCTGAAGTTAAAAGTAAATTGGAGTCAGAGCAAGACTATTCCTCAACAATATTAATAATTGCATCCTTGCAAAGGGGTTAAACATAAAATCTAAACAATTAAAAACAAAAAATGATCATAGTAATACAAACTCGAAAACTAAAAATGAAAAAAGGGAAAATATATACAAGATAATAATAATATAAAAATTAATCTTCCTTTATTGAAACTCCAATTCAGAACTCATCAGGACAATTTTTGTCTTCTCATCAACTATCTGTCAATTTTTTCTGATATTAATATAAATTTTTCTCGTAATTTGATTTCTTTGGATTTCATTTTTGAAAACAAATAAATAAATAAAATAAAAATATTGTGTTATTTTATAAGAAAAGTAGCACAAGAGTTGCCTTTCTCATTTCTTAATTAAAAAGATTTATTTTCAGCTGCTACTTCATGCATAATTTCTTCTCTAATCCGTTTTATTGCATATTTTCCTGTTCTTAATTAATAGCTTTCTTTACATTGCTTAATATTTATATAATGATCTAATTTTAGGAGTTATATTCTGCAATCATCATAAACCTCTTTACATATGCGATTTGGAGAGGGTGGGAAAATTTGAAAGTTTTCTCTTTTGATGTGTATAAAAGCAATTTAAAATGAAACAAATCCTGTTGAAAATAGTAAATATTATTATCAGGTAAACAATTGGGAATGGTTTTGTATTTGAGATAAAGCATAGATAATTGTAACTGTAGTAGTACTTTTGTAAAATTGGAGCACATGAAATTTTCTGATACAAAAGTTTTCTCAAGAGCTTTGTGATAATACACAGGAAACTGTATCAGATTTGATCGTTATAAATTGCACACGTATGAGTGAAAAATAATGTGTATTACAGTTACATATTTCTTAAAATCATTTTGAATTATTTACTGTTTCCGATATTTAAACAGGCCCACCAGCGGCCGAGCGGTAAAGTCGCAGAACACTGGTAGTTCGGTCCGAGGTTCGAATCCCGCGAACGGGCTGGCTGCATGGGCGTTTTCGTGGTTTTCCCCATGTGTAACGTGTATACGAGCCAGTTTCCCTTAGAAAGTCCTCCACGAAGGCATCCCTCCTCTTAGGCAGATAGCCCTCGAGGATTTGCCATAATCACGCACACACACCGATATTTAAACATGTAAATCATAATTATAAATAGAATATGTAATGGTATGTGCATCATTTATAAAAATGTAAAATCACACGAGGAAAAAAATCCTTAAGTGTGTTCTAAGTCCTTAAGTCCTAAAATCCTTAAGTCCTTAAGGTACATTGTTAGGGGTTGAATATAAAAGCTCATTATGTACCCATGTTATATACATTTTAAATATAGTCCTCACTTATTAATTATCTACACATCAATGATGTTTAAAATATTAATAATTATATTTTGTTGATCGCATAGTTATAGCTTTTTATTATTATTATTATTGTAATAGACATTTATATAATGAAAGGTTTTCTTAAAAGAAAAGTCGTGGTGTCGCGTGGCCCCAACTTGCCCGCAACAATAGTAGTGACTGCTATGAACTGGAAAGTACACAAATTCTTAAGAAGGATTTAACTCCCTTTTTATTCCACTTTAGAAGTTACAGATGCGTTCACTTGACGCTCACAAACTACGCCGACCCGGCGGTTAAATAAAAATAAGAAAGTACAACTAAAAATGAATAATAACAAGTCACTACCTACGAGGCTGTGTAAACGTGACTACTTAAACGCGTTCTAAGATACAGCTGAGATTTCAGCAAACTTTCTGAATAAAAAGTTGAAAGATTCAACTAACTGCCGAAGCAAGCACACAGGCCGAAACGCGCGGTTCTTAAATTTCTACCTAGCAACCTTCACGCTCGTGAATCAAGAAAGCACACCTACAAACTCGTTTCCCTTCTATTTAACTCAAAAATACTTCCGCTGAAAATTTGAATACTTTGTGCGTTCTACTAAAATTTACATACTCTGGCATTGGCAATTCCAGGGAAAAGTAAGGCTTGACAGGAAAGATGACTTAATAAAAATACAAAATAAATGTTAGTTAAAATAAATATAAACCCTACAAAGTGATAAAGTTTCCTTCACTCTAATTTAAAAATTTAAAAATTATTTCATTTATGCATTTAAAAAAAATATTGGTATTCTTCTGTTATCGGAACCAGATTAAAAAAATTATGCATGTATGAACTGGAGTATCTATGTGCGTGTCTGCATATACATATATACACACATATACATACATAAGTACTATATATAAGCACATATATCCATACATACACATACATACATTTTTCTCACCAGCCCCGATAACAGAAGAATACAAGGGGGATGAACACTAACTGGAATTATGATTTCATTTAAAACTTAGAGGTACCGAGTTCTGGTAGGCTCCAATTTTAAATCTTACGTACTCTTATACACAGCACGTTCTGTTAATGTAAATGAATGCCATATGTGAAAAATGATACTGCAATCTTCAGTAAGTTACGAGACTTTCTTGGATCACTCATAAGATGACAAACTGTAAATTACAGTTCATATGCTAACACCAATTTAAACAGAATTTTTTGTTCTTATTCAGAAAATACAGTTAAATAAACTATATGTGAACATAAAATTATTGTGAGATTTATTCAGAATGATTTTAAACAAATAAAGAAATTCAGTCCAATTTTACTGCAGTTTTCTGTTGTTGCTGAAAGTTCCATTGCTACTAATTAGCAATAACAACAGTTACTTCATATAGGTGGAATACGTTATGACAAAATTTTGTTTTACATGGCAGTACATTAAACAGCTTTACAGCAGCTCTGAACATGAGTATTTTTTAATTTCTAAATCGGTAAATGTAAACGTTTGAAGTGTAATATGAGGTTTCCCCCAATTTATATTATTACATTAACTGTATAATAAGTTCCTAAGTTTTCTCTTTGTAATGGATAGCCATGAAAATTAATAATGTTCCATAATGAAATTGCATTAAGTATGTTTTGCATTAAATGTATTATATATATTGTTATCATTCATAAGGGTTCTATGAGTAACACTACAATTTTGAAGTTGAATCGGCATCTTGTGGGGTCATTTTTAACATTAAATTGTTAACTGAAATACACAGGCTATGCATTTTGATGCCATGATGTAATTTTTTGTGGCAAAGACCTTGAAAAACTAATTTATACATTCATTTGAAATAAAAACACCATGTTTTAATTTATTATAACACCAAGTTTTTCTCCACAAATTTTTAAGGCAAAGCATATTTATTTCGTTTTTATCTGATTATATTTCTGATTTTGGCCATTATTATGTCACGTTATTAATATTATATCTTATTAAATCTTTTTTTATTTATACAAATTCAATATCTTTCACTCATGATGCATGAATGTACCAGATACAAAGGTGCATTTTGTCTTTCGAATGTTTTTCTTTTTCAATAGCAATATTCGAAGTACGATTTGGTTTAGAATCGGAAGATTTTTGGACGACAAAGAGTCACTCATAACTATTATAAATTAAGCATGCCAAGTCACAGTTCTACTTTCAGTCGGATGACTTCCTAACTAAAATCGACCAACACAATGCCAAATTGGCGAGAAAGGTCGCCAGTCTGGAGTAATTCCATTAGCAGGGGCAGACGGCGGTCACAGAAGCGGCGGCTCATAATGCGCATCTCGCCGCATCGTGACCTGCTCGCCGTAGACGCTTGTCTCGCGGTCTAAAGTAAGTGTTGTCAGGAGGTTTTCAAAACAAGAACAACGATGTTGGATAAAAATTGAATGTGCCAGAGGTCGTACAGCACGACAGTGTCATCAAGGGCTTCAAGAGGCTTGCGGGGAATCTGCATTGCCTTTCAGAACCGTAGCAAGATGGGGAAAGCATTCAATGAAGGACGCCAAAACGTGGCAGACATGCTGCGGCCAGGTCGTCCGAGTGTCAGCGATGCAGACGTGCAAGCTGTTGCCGCACTAATGGACAGTGATCGCCGCCAAACGATTCGTCAGCTGGCCGGATAAACAGGATTAGCGCATACGACTGTGCTGCACATTCTGAAGGAACGCCGCCTGTCCATGAGAAAAATTGCTTCACGATGGGTTCCACATCAATTGACGGAAATGCAGAAATGGCTACGATACGATGCTGCCCGAACCCACCTGGAGTGCTATGAGCGCGAAGATGCTTTTTTACGCCGTATCATTACGCTGGATGAGACTTGGGCCCAATCGTACCAGCCAGAACTGAAACGCCAATCAAACGAATGGCATCATCACGGGTCACCACGACGTTCGAAATTTCGTCAGAACCCCAGCAATGTGAAAGTTATGGTAATTCTCGTGTACGACTGTGATGGTGTCATCCTAACGCATACCGTTCCCCCATAGCAGAGCTTCACTATGCAGTATTACTGCTCATTTTTGGAGCACAATCTCCGACCAGCTTTGAGAAAAAAACGGCGACACTTTCTGGAGAACGCTCCTCTCATTTTGCATGACAATGCTCGGCCGCATGCAGCGCAAGCTGTGACTGATTTGTTCAAGCGATGGGGCTGGGAAGTGCTTTTTCATCGACCATACTCCCCAGATCTAAGCCCTTGTGACTATGACTTAATTCCTAAGATGAAGGAACCACTTCGTGGCACTCGCTTCCAAACTGTTCCTGAGATTCTTGCGGCAGTAGACCGGTCCATTCAAACTATCAACAAAACAGGCGCTGCTACAGGTATTCTGCGACTTCCACATCATTGGAAACGGGTTGTACACAATGCTGGCGACTATATTGAAGGACTGTAAAACATGGTGACATGAATCACTTTTGTATTCCTTGTAAATAAATAGTTACCACTATTAAAGTTCCAACCCTCGTAGATTTACGGCATAATTAGTAATTCTTCAAATCTGAACACTGTTTTCAGCATTTCAAAAATTATTATTTTCATCACTTTCACTAAAATTCAGAAAATACTAATCCAGTTATAAAAATCTGATGTGTACACCACATGACTTCCTTGTACGGAATATTAAATTATACGCATTTTTTCTTGCATTTTATTTAAACTTATTAGATTGAATTAAACCTACTTCGCCGACAGCGCATAAACCACAATAGAATAAATGCATTCTTTAAAATTCACTTTGTTTACCATAGCGACACTCTGGCACTAGGTTTACTTAACAGTATTATATTTCATTCATATTATAACTCAGAATGCACAAAATGTATATCATTTAAAGAATTATCTAATCGTTGCCACATGTTCTATTCAAATACTATAATAAAGCTAGAACTATGTATAAAAGAAATTAAGCAAACAAAACAAAACAGAAACAGTTTTTCACAGACGATTGAGTATTTCTCATTTAATTAATTCAGTTCTCACTTCGCGAGAAGGCAAAAATACATAAAAACTCAAAATATCTATATTAAAAATTACGAAGTAAATCTCAAACGCTTATTTCCTCGAAAAAATTCCAGAAAGAATTAAGCATGATTTAATTGGCAATAATAAATGAATGCGTTATCTTTGTTGTTGCGAAGCTAAGTTTGTCTAGATTGGCAACAAATCCACTAGTCTCCTGTTTCAAATGTAAACATCAATGGCCGCCATTGAAAACAGGCTTAGCGGCAATTAAACAACTTTAAAATTGCTGATAATTTTAAAAATATTGCACACAGATTTACTAAAGGCATAAAATCCTTAACCGGAAGATAAAAACAACATAATTCAATCATTTTTAAAGCAAAAAATGTACAATTTACAAACATATAAGAGTAAAAAAAAAAATGAGATCACTGAGCCGGGTAATAGAGTGGATATATATATATAAATATATTTATATACGTTTGGTGCGGCTGATTGCAACCAAAATACGAGGTGCACACCTATATGTTATAGCAGTCTTATATACAAAATTTCAACGTTCTGAGGCTACTCGTTTTTGAGTTATGCGAGATACGTACGTACGCACGAACGTACATACTTTCGTACAGATGCCACGAAAAATTCTCTTTAGAATTAATTTTAAAGCATTTTAATAATTTTTTTGAAGGAAAAGAGTATTTTATTCTGTCCTTACGTACAGTTATGGCGCAAAAACATCGTTAAATTGCATTCGATAGCGGTCAAAATGGATATTTTCGTTGAAATATGCTGCCTGAAACTTTTCGCGATTACAATACTTCCTTTTTACTTCGTACAAGGAAGTAAAAATTATTTACCAGTCTTATAAATTTGAGCCCATTTGTAATAGGTCTCGCATAGTTTGACATTTAGAATTTTATAACTTGTGAATGACAATCGATTTAACATATGTATTAGAAACAAATGTGTGTGCTTAGTAGTTCTGTTTTATTCTTTAGAATTTTAGAATTTCATACATAACTTTATAAGACGTACTACCAGAGTCGTAGCTAGGGTTTTCAGCGCCCAGGGACAACTGAAGATTTCGCGCCCCCTACTGCTTGCCAAGGATGGAAAACATTTAATTCTAAAATGTCGTAACATCAGTTTGGCGCCCCTTGGATTCTGCGCCCGGGGTCAGATGCCCCCCTTGCCCCCTCTAGCTACGCCCCTGCGTACTACTATAACAGCACTGCTTTTCCTTACCCTGGCAGTGTGCTGAATTGGAGTAATGGTTGTAAACGACCTTTTAATGACTGAGGTATCTCCAATAGATGCTTCTTTCCATTTACTAGTATACCTCTTCACTTCCAAAGTATCAAAACATTTATTTTCAGGATATCTACAATGTTATGGATCTTTCCCCTCCTCCTTCCCCACCCCCCAAAAATCTCTTTATCATATCACTCAACCAGCAGCACAGAGAATTGTTCATATGAAATCTTTTAGAATCATTATTCCCAAATTTGGATTAACCAGCAAGTAAAAGATTATATGAATATATTGTAATATAAAATGTAGTCTTTATTGTTAGCTATGACTTTTTACCATTATCTGGGTAGTTGTTAGTTGTCTTCCTTGCAGAAAGTTAGTTGCCTTCCTTGTGTGAGCTTGATGCGATTACAATGTGAGTATCTTTCAATATTATCTCTATTTCTGAACTGCTGTTCTCAAGAAAGATGCTGCATCAATAAGGAAAGATGGTAGCTGTTTAGTGTAATGTCTAGAGAATAGAAACAACAGTTCCGATCTCATGGCTCTTAATCTTGTTACATGTCTTTTTGAAGCTGTTTACATTTTCATTCCACCCAGGATTAGAAGGACATTGTAGAGAATGGGTGTTCAGGTCATAATCAATGCTGAAGTTGTATGCATATCATGAAGCTGATAGCTCTTATACATCAGAAGTAATGCTACTTCACATTATTGGGGAGCAGCTCAAAATAAACAACATCCCATGTATCCCAGCAAACTGACAGCAGTCTTTGCTGGGATACACAGCATCAGGTGGCTTCTTCAGTTCATGATCCAACCGATGTTTCCAAGGTCTTGCATAGGTAGAGGGCATATTTTTTCATTCCATATCATAAGATAGAGTAGAAATGGGAGTGCCTGAAGTCACGCAGTTTGTTTTCTACGCTATTCTGTGTTCGTAAGGTACCCAAAATCCTTTCTTATTAACAATACAAAATTGATGGAGATAATATTTCATGTTCATAATCCTCATCTCCTCTTGAGATGCATACATTCTATCTTGAGAATTACTTTACAAAATATTTTTATATTTATAAAGGCCAAATATGTTCATATGGTCATTTATGAAATTCTATAAATGTATGAGAGGTTAAATATATTTTTATACATAATATTCATTTTAAAGGAATTAATTTCATATTCCTAGTTATGATTTAACTGTAAAATTTTATTGCTTTTGAATTCTGCTGACAATATTTAAATATACTTTCAAAATTGCATAAAACACTTTTGATAATTTTTTTAAATAAAATATACCTAATTTCTAGATTCGTAGTTTGCAGTCTGAAGTAAGAGGACTTCAAAAAGCTCACAATGCTAGATGCACAAACTGTCCACCTTTGAAAGTTAAATTAGTAGAAATTGAAAAGAAACTTCAGAAGCTTATTTCAGAAAGGAAGGCACACCTAGAACAACTATTTGAAATGAAGTATGCTCAGATATCTTTATCTGTGATTCAATTACTTTTATTTTTACTTCTTTGGATTATTTTATAGATTTGCATTTCTTTTTATTATGTAAAATATTATTATTACATAACAAAGTTTTAACATAAGTATCATCAGCAAATTTTTGTCTGAAATATAATTACAGTTCAAATTTGTTTTCTGCAAAATATGCTCATGAATCAAATTTCTGTAATTCACAGCATAAAAAGACTTTTACAAGACTGAAATAAGTATGCTGTGTGTAAGATTTAAACTCTGCCACTAGAAGAATTAAGACTCTGTGAAGAAGTAGCTTTCACATTTAAATTAAATTCTCACTGTAAGTAATATTTAGTAAGTTAGAGACATAACAGAAGAGAACTCTCGAGCAATTAGCAGCTTCTGCTACACATATGCATTCATTTCCAGATGCATTCAGCAATGTAAACAAACAATTATAGTTATCAATAGGGAAAAATCCCTGTATTGGGGAGAGGGGTAATTTTTAAAAACCTACATTAATTATTAAATTTTTCTGCTTGTAGTACTATTAAATAAAACAGTACCAAACATAATGTTTACTTTAATTTATTGCAAGAAAATTCTTTCATTATTATCAAGCTTTGTCAAAAATTAAATAAGTCACAAATATGTATGTAAAATGCCTCTTACCAAATTTTCAGCTAAATCATACGTAATGAAGTCAGTAAGTTTTTGTGTAAAATTTAACTAAAGCAAATCTGAAGTTCAAACAATAGCTTAATTTTTTTTCACCATGTTATGGTTACAGATCAAATAAATTTCAGACATCTATAGAGTTATTAATAAAAATGTTGGTACTTTCTGATTATTTGCACCAACATTGGAAAGCTACAAGAAAAATTGATGAGGCAACACATACACAAACTTAATTTAAAACTGTTAACTTACTTCTGTAAGCTCCGTGTTGTATATATGTGGTGCATGGGGAGTCTGTATGTTAAAAAAAAAAAAAAAAAAAAAAAAAAAAAAAACACCCTGTTTATTTCATTTTTAAATATAATGGACAGTTTTACGGACGTCCATTATCTGGAATGATCTATAATCCGGACCTCAAAGCCACAGACTTACGCATGCGCATTTAATGCGCGCAGGGGCGTAGCTAGAGTTTCCAGCTCCCAGGGACAACTGAAGAATTTGCGCCCCTTTCTGGTGCCAAGAATAGAAAACATTTCATTAAAAAATTTTGTAGCATCAATTTGGCGCCCCTTGGATGCTGCGCCCGGGTACAGATGCCCCCTTGCCCCACCCTAGCTACGCCACTGATTGCGCGCGTCCGCTACGCATGCGCGTAAAGCGTTTACCCATGCGCGCTTCCGATAGTGAAGTAAGTGACAGAGAGGTTATTGAAAACGAAAAAATTTCGATTGACAAGTTAGTCGTTATTCTCGACACAGCAATTACAGGACTTGAACAGTGGAACTTTCTAACTGGACAAGAAATTATGTCTGTTTATAGAAATAAAGAGAAAGTATTAGCACAAAAAATGAAGCAACTTAAACAACTTACATTGAAAGAAATGTTTAATAAAGTAAACAAATAAATATTAAGCTATTTTTTGGTAAATTTTGATACCCTTTAGATCATAATTGCTCTTCATTTCATAAATTATGGTTTCAAATTTTTAATTGTATAATTTCTGCATGCTATCTTACTAGATTTAAATTGATGATCTATAATCCGGAATCACCGATGTCCGGACGAGTCGGGATAACGGACTTTGTACTATATTACAGAAAAAGTCCTTAAACATGACACATCAGATTAGTTCAAAAGACCTTATATTATTATAGAATGTTTTTTATATCTTTGGTTACTGAGTAAGGTGTTTTAAATTTAAGATTTTAATTTATTTAAATAAATTATGTGCAGAACACTATTTATATATATTAGAATTGGATATTTATATGCTGTTTACATTTATGTTAAACTCATTGTTCATTTCTAGGCAAGAAGCTTTATCTGCAGCAATAAGTGAAAAGGATTCTCACCTAGCATTTCTAGAAATGTCTGGCATAAAAAATGCCAAAGCTGCCGAACAAGTGGATAAATTAAAGACTGAAAAGAAGCAACTTGTTGAAAAAATCAAAAATGAGGTCAGATTAAAAACTTTCTTCTTTGAACACTAAATCAGGAATTCCCAACCTTTTTCTTGCATCAATATTTTTAAATGAATGAGTGCTTTGTTGATCCCTGTACATTTTTCTCTATTATATATAGCAGGGGTGGCGAAAATGCGTCTCGCGAGCCTAATACGGCTCTCGCAGGCAATTTGTGCGGCTCATGCATATGAAATATGGTAAATTAAAACTATTCAGTGTCCGAAAAGAGGTAATTAATTAGTTTAGACTCTTTTTAAGAAGTTATCAGGGATTTCTTTCTATTTAAAACCTCCTCCACTACTTGCACAATGATGTATGAACTTGTGGCTTTTAGAAAATCTAGATGCGGCTCTCGAGCGTTCCTGAATTCAAACGAGCAGTTGTTACTGACATGAAGTTTGGCCAGTCCTGATATATAGTCAGTGGAGTAGCGAGCATAACTGGCGGCCAGGGCAAAATACCATTTTAGCGCCTCCCCCTTCCCCGAAAAAAACCCAGTGATATGATGAAAATCTTGTTTGGAGACAATTTGGCGCCCCTCTGCGAGCGGCGCCCGGTGCATCATACCACCCTTGCCCCCCCTCGCTACGCCACTGTATATAGTATACAACCTAATCATAATACATATAATTGTACAAAAATAACTTAGAGATAACAATTTGATTAAGAATATGAACGAAAGTATTGGAAAAATCGTTTATTTGATTTATGTTTAATTATTTTTGTAGTAATATTTTTTACAAATGTAAACAAATTTTTAGAAACAAAATCACAGATTATAATTGCACAAAAGCTATATTTCAATTTATATGATGATTTTCCTTGGTTTATCAATGCAGTTTTCTTTAATATTTGTTATAACACTGCATAACTTGATTTTCAAATGACCTGGTTCAAAAATATTCAAACTATTTCTTGTTTTCCATTCTTCGCAATTTTTTTTGGCTTGCTTTGTTTTTGTTTTGATTTCCTTGTGTTTTAGTGCTTTACTTTTTTATACTGCACTAACTGCATTAAAAATTTATATATTTTTAAAAGTATTATTGTTTTAAAAAATATAAGTAATATTTTCCCCTTATATTTATTTTATATGATTTTTTCCTTATTACATGACGCAGATTTGTAACAGTAAATAATTAATTATCAATTTTATTAATACTTTATGTTGTAATATGCGGAATCTTGATTATGTGATCAGTTGCCGGAGCTTATTTGGCTATCAATCCCTTGATCATCGTTAGTGCCAGGGGCTCAGTTACGACCCATCCCTTCACTCAAATACTAGAAATTCTATATGATATGCTTCTAAAACACAAAATAATTATAAAAATATTTAAATGCTAAAATAAAGGAGCAATTTCAAATATTGAATTTGATACTGTGTTCAAATGCTTGTAAATTTTATAAATTTCCTTTAATAGTTCTTTGTTATAGCAGTCTTGATGAGAAACAGTTCCCATTAGGCATTTATTCACTTTCTGTAGTATACAATCTATTTAATATACACACACACAGAGCAATTCAAATATTAATTTGTATTTATTCTATTACTTTATTCAATTTTGTAAGAATTTTTTTTTTTTTAAATAAACATATCGGCTACAAATAATCTATAGTGATGTGATGCCTATAACATCTTTTTCCGTTCATGGGACAGTAGTAAGCATATTAAAAATTTAGCATTGAAAAATTAAGAAAATTTTGACTAACTGAAGAAACATAAATTCGGTGCACATTTGCAGATTGGTAACCATTTGTTTCTCACCAGGGCAGAAACACACAAATTTATGTTTCTTGCCAAAGTTGCTATAATTGGAAAAAGTGTTTTTGTGATTACTGATTCAATAAATTTTCTTTTAATATTGGTTTAATATATTTTTTTAATTTTATTTTAGAATGAAAATCGTGTCAAACTATTAATGGAACTAGAAGATTCTACTTTAAATAATATTAATCTTAGTGCCATTGATGATAAAGATTCATCCCAGGTAACATTCATTAATTTAATATAATAATTAATATCAATGCGTACTTTCTCATTATATTTACATGAGTATATGAATGTTGCATAAATCTGTTATACAAATATGCTTAAGATAGTACTGAATGATAATATTAATCTCTTATTAAAGATTGCTTTAACTGTGCATTAAACATGTGATTTGCTTGAACTGTGAACTGAAGATTCAATTTTTGAATCTAAAGGTTAAATACGTAAAAAAGTACTTTTTCTGACTCTCATTAGAATATTTGATTACTATAGTATTATATATAGACATATTTTAATCACTGGTTTGATATTCAAATCATTTCCTTTTAATATTTATATATTGCATAAATATTAAATATTCTTTTTTGCTTTATTACAAGCAATTAATGGTGATTTTATGATATTCAAAATGTTATGTGACTATAAAGTGACTATCATCTTTATGAGGATAATGAAATTATTTGAGATGGAGAAGATTTGTAATTTCAATACAAAATAATTTTCAATGAATATGCTTTTTCTTTTTACAAAGGATGCTGAAGAAGATGGTTTGCGATCTATTCCATAAGAAAATCTGTAAGTTTTGAATAGATTTATGTATTTCAAATTTTGAATTTTGAGATGTGTTATTCAAAATTCTGACCTGCTTATATAAATTTTTTATGCATAGTATTTGTATATTTTATACATATTGTATTTGTAAAAACAAATATATTATAAATTAATTTTTTAAGTCACAAAATTTCAGTCTATAGTTTAATTTTTACTTAAAAAAATTATGCATTAAGAGTAATTGTGAGTAATTACATTTTTATTAAAATCTGCATTAAATTGGAAAGGCTAAAATTTCTATCTTCTGATATTCAAGTCACATTTAAGAATTTTCTAACAAACTCATAGACTAGAAACTTAGAAACATTACATGTTTCTAAGACCTTCCAAACATTAACTGTTTACTCCTTAACTTAAAAATACAGTCAAAAGTCGTTAATTCGGACACCCGTAATCCGGAATGATCTATAATCCGGACCTCAAAGCTAAAATCTTTCTGCGCATAGGCGTTTTACTCGTGCGCGCAAAACATTTACGACTGCGCATATGCATCTGCGCAAGTGCAGAATACGTTTTCGCGTGCGCGTTTAATGTATAACGGACGGTATAAGCTAAAATTATCTAATTATCTATTTCAGTTAATGTTGATGATTGCGTTGTTCCTTAATCTTCGAATTGGATCCGGCTTATTATTTTTTGCAGACTGTAAGAGCAATTTTCTAAAAGTAAGCTTGAACTTTCGATTATGTCAAATAGAATTTCCGATGCTGGAGCTCCCAAAGGATCTAGAAAACGAAAGTATGTTTCGATGTCCATCAAACAAAAAACGAATTGCTACAAAAAATGGATAAAGGCATATTCTTTGTTTATCTAACCGTTCCGAAATCTGTTTATCAATTTCACGCTGCTCTGCGCGGGGGGGGGGGACGTCGCGGCGCGCAATGAACTGGAAGTTGATTTGTCAACACTATCGTTATCTTCAGGGCAGATGTTTTTATTTTATTCGGCTTATAATTCCTTACTAAATGTAGTATTTAATTTCGATGTACTCCGTCTTTGATATGATTTAAATCAAATTCCTCGTCATTATAAATATCACGAATACAAATCAAATAGTTTTCTGGTTGCAATTTTCTAATTTCGGCTATGCGTAAGGTATGCTTTACGCATCCGCGCGTTGAAAGAAATGTTTAATAAAGTACACAAATAAATATTAGGCTTCTTTTTTTGGTAAATTTTGATACCCTTTAGATCATAATTGCTCATTATTTTATAAATTACGGTTTCATATTTTTAATTTTATAATTTCTGCATGCCATCTTACCAGATTTAAACTGATGATCTATAATGCGGAAAAATCGATAATCCGGAATCGCCGAAGTCCCGACGAGTCGGGATTAAAGACTTTTGACTGTATTACATTTTGTAACGTAACAGTATAAATTTCTATAACAAACTGTATGGGATTCTTTAAGAGTTAAAAAAAGAATTGTAACTTTTTTTCCCCAAAAATTTTATAACATCTTATAATAAATTAGTGCAACATGCATTTATTACAATATGCAGTCCAGTGAAATTCTGAATGGCACAGATATAATTCCTCCCCCCCTTTTTTCATCTTTAGATAAACATGACTTTAATAAAAGGCATTCCATTGAAAAAGAAATAGATTATGTCACCAAATATACACTTTTGCCCTAAAATTAAAGTACATAAAATAATATAAGAAAAGCATTTTAGTTGTTATTAACAGAAATGAAAATATTAAATTCTATGACTGGTTACCATGGAAAAGAAATCATTTTTGTTAAGCCATTTGTCATACATTTTGCCATAATCAACTAAACAAAAAGTATTATTTAGACATATATTTAATGTTGTTATATCAGTATCAGCTTGAAATAAAGAAGCATGCTTCAGAATCAAGCAGTCCTCTAAAGGGCATCAAATTGGTTTAATGATTCAGTAATTTTGCAAAAATTATCTAATCATTAGATTCATTTTGCAGTGCAAATGTAAAATTAATACAAAATTGTATTTTTCCTCTGATATTTTTTAGTTACATAATATCTAACTAAAAGAGATATATCGCCAAAAGAATGATTAAATCATATTAAAGGAAATTAAAGCATACTATTTCTATAACATATAAAACTTCAGATTTACAGAAAGAACTATAAAATGAATATATTGTTCAATTTGAATTACCAAAACTTAATTATACCTATACATAGAATTCTAAAGCATGATATCAAACCCCTAATCTGACTTGTTTCTGGCTTTATACATCTTAAATCAGTTGCCATTCACAAATTATAAAATTCTAAATGTTACAAGCAAAAAATAATTATCTGGCAGTATCACAGAAAGTGCAATTTGAATATAGCCAAGGCTGCTGTAACAGGAAAGAGCTTTTCTATTCTAAATATCACACATCATTTATCAAAATTCTATTCCTCATTTTCATAGTAATAATAAATGTTCTGTATTGATGTCTCTGATAATAGCCTATCTCTCAAGAACTGCAACTTCTTGAGAGATAGGCTATTATCAGAGACATCAATACAGTTGACTGCATTAAAGATAATTTGTGATTTCATATTTGTAACTTTTTATTTGGCATATCTGATAATGTCATACTGAGATGGCAGTATTGCTCTATATTTTTCAGCTGACTTCTGCAGAGGAAATGTGAATCTGCTGCTAGCCATTACTTGCTCTCTCTCTGATCCCGTCTTCCAGTCAGATGTTATAACTCCTGAGCCTTGCTTCCTATAATCTTCAACCTCAAATGCTATCATCCCATCTGCTACAAATCTGGAGAATTCCCTCATACCTATTTGATAAAGAGGGAAAGGTGTATAAACTGCCATGAACTACTCTAGTTAACAAATTTCTGCAAAGCATTGTGCTCTGTTACCACTTGCCACTGGTGCCATAGTAAGAGTAGGATCATGTCTTTGCCAGAATGCTGACAGAGCAAAATATTAAAAGATATAAATGTATATACACTTTTTGTAAAATTGGAAGCTTCACACTTAACAGAAATTAAATATGATGCTTCATTTATTACATAATATCTTATGAGACATTGCATGGAAGATGAGTGAGAATCTATAACAGAAGTGATTTTTTTAGGTGGGGAGGGTAAAAAAAGGAACAATAAATTATTCCATGTTAAGTATATGTACATATTTATTATACAGAATTCTTCATCAGTACAAGAGACATTTTTTATTTTAAAAGAGGGCTCTTCTATCTTTATAGTTAAGATATGAGACTGCTTATCTTTCTTATAATTTAAAATCTAAATCAAATATATACTTTTCTTCATGAAACAATTAAACTATAGATCCTTTTCAAAAGTTTTGATAATCTGAATTTTATAATAGTATGAATGTATTTGACACTGGGGACAATTTTATAATTTTTTAGTTTCTCATAGACTCCGCACCTTGATTATAGACAAATATGTTTTAGGTCCTGCATGAATTCAAACTTAAATATAAGTGTATATAAGGTGGGAAGGAATAAGTAATTATAAGTCACAATATATAATAAAATATTATTATGTATATATGTAAGAAAAATAAATAATATATAAAACATTAAATTAGCAGCATAATTAATTTTCCTTCTCTATTCTAATAATAGTAATCTCCCTGCACTGTGTCATTTCAAGATTAATCCATGTCATATGATTCTTACATAATTCTAGTGATGTAAATGGAACTAAAACTCAAACAGCCAATATTAATTTTACAGCAGTATTAATTACCCAATCAAAATGAATTGAGAATCAAAACTAACTTAGTCTGAATTAAGATTTCACCCTGAACATAATGCACTTGCTTTTTAAGCTTTTGCCTACAATCTGTCTGCTTCTTGTTTTTTTTACTGCAAATCTATCAAAAATGTAAGCTTTTTGGAATAGGCACAATTATTAATGTGCCAATTTGTTTGTGGCTGCAACATGTTTGCTGAAATAAAAAATGAAGATTTAATCTGATTTCACCTCCAATTTCCTATTCATTATGGATCAACACTTCTACACCATCAAAATTCCTGCTGTTCATTACTTATGAGTTCCTCATTATGATAACATTTCCTTTTTAGATTCAAATATTTGTGAAACCCAACTACTTAATTATTAATTGTTTTAAATCTTTCACATATGGCTTTAATTCTTGAAATGTGCAGTTTATGTGAAATACTAAAATTTCTATATATACTAAATATGGCATAATGTTGAGAGGTGTATTAATATTGGTCACAAGAGTTTAAAGTCTGAGAATTTGCGTTTCTATAAAAGAAAAGTAATTGTTTGATATTTCTCTATCAGCGTTATTTTTGGCAAAACATGATACTCTCAATTTTGCTTCTTTGATCATTGCTGCAAGTTGCTGATTGCGTCTGCTGTTTTATATCTTTGTGCCATATATTTAAGAAAAATATAAATTTATTAATTATCAGTATGGAGAATGCTTGCTTTCATGCAATGCACACAATTCTGTCTCTAGTGAAGCATATCAAAAGTATTTCTATGTACATAGTTTGTATGATACTCTGAAGCTCTTATTTTGCAAAGTGTTATTCTTTAAAATATTAAATCATTTTACATCAGTGTATTAAATATGTGAAAGATTTTGTTTGGTCAAAATGAGTTAGAAATGTAACTCAAAATGATACACAGTAAATTAAAACTTTTGCATGCATAGAAAATCGCAATCTTTACAATAATTATTTTTTTTAGTTATTTTTAAGAATATTAAAAAAAATCACAGAAGGTGCTAAACAGTATTGATATATTTAAATAACTTTTGAATTTAAATTGTTTTCTTCTGCAAATGTGTGAATTTCAGTCATGTATTCTTTTTTATTTAATTATTTTAACATGGAAGTAACCATTACTTTATCATATTAAGTAACAGTTCTTTGTGTATATGCAAGTTCAAGGAATAAGTCAGTAATCATTATCTGACTGATATTATTTTAGCAATCAAAATATCATATATTAAGAGGCAGAATGGTGAGTGCTTTGATTGTAATTACATATGATGAGGCACTGTTTGTACATTTAATAGAGAATGTGTGACATATTCATTCCAAGCTCTGTCTCAATGTATTACAAGGAATTTAAGGAATAGGTAGAACTGTGTAAATTTTCTCTAAAAGAATCTATAAATGCAAGCTATGAAATTCAAAGATAACTCATTCATTCTATATGTCTTTCATCAAGTCACAAATTACAATTCTTGAAACTTACAAATTATATTTCCTCTATTTAAATAAAAGAAGTTATATTTGGCTAAAAAATTTAGCCAGTTTTTCTCACAAGCATTATACTCAAATGGTTGTTGGTTTGTAGGTAGATATGATTGTATATTGTCTATGGAAACATAGAAATATCAAGTTCTATGGAAAAGAGAATGTTTCAACAGCTATGAACAGTTGAACCTAAGATATATACCATCATGTTTTGCTGACTGTTAATGAAAATAAATGCAGCAATACTTTCGATATATATTATTATATAGATACTATATGTTGTTGCATCTGTACTGTAATGGTATTTTGTTGCCCATTGCATCCAGAGATAAAAAAAAATTAATTATAATGTTTTCAGTGAATTTGAGCAATTATTTACTCATACAATAGAATAATTAGAAATGTGATACTGTATAGTCATGGGAAAATAATTGGTGGATGTCATTCAATTTTTATTGTATTCTAAAATTAATATATATAAAGAAATATTCAGGATATTGTGCTTTCTGTAAAATACATATCTGTGTTTTACCAAATTTATAAAGTATAATTTTGTGTTTAGTTTATAAAAGAAATGTTACCAAAGAATTTTTCAAGTTTTATAAATCTGTATTTTTCATTTTTCTTTCTTCCTTTCAGTGTTTCTGAAATATGTAAATATATTTTTATATTTTTTATATATAATTAAAGTGGTGCCATAAACTAATTTTAACTAGTCATATAATTCTGTGTGGTGTAAAAGAAATGACGTGCAAGAAGTAAGCTGCATAAAAATTTCTTATTTTACATTTTGTGATAAATATTAAAATATGCAAAGTAAACCGAAAGACAGGAAAAAAATCTTTAAGACAGAATGTTTTCTATCTTTGATTTGAACTTTGAATACACCATTATATATATAATAAAATCAACTAAGAACTGCTAATTCAACATTAATTTACTATTCAAAAAGCATTTTCACGTTACTGGTATTGCTCATTAATAATAATGAAATTTTATGATTTATTATGATCATGATTACTTATCGATTCAACTATTTCATATTCTTTGTTTATGAATAATGTTACAATAATTTGTTCAGAGTTGAACTGCTCATCATAATACTCTTTTTATTAAATAATGATCTGTAGAAATATATGCATTGTAGGTAATGTGATAATTCTTATAATAAATTATTTTGTTTTTAATGTATTGATAGTAAATTATCACATTACTTATAATGACTTTAATTACTGTTGTTTCACAACATCTGCCTTTAACAGATATATATATATATATTCATTGTTACAATTGAATATATTTATTAAATATAAAATAAATTATTATATGTAGTGTTTAAATATTACTGACATTAATATATCGATATGTACAGATAGAAAGCTCATAATTTTTATAATTTTTGCTATTTTTTCAGACTTATCACTGTTTGATTTAAGAAATAATAATATCCACATATATTCTTTGTGTTTATATTATATTTTAATTAATATTTTATTAGAATTTCATAGCATTCAACTTCTTTGTATTTAAAATATGAACATTTAATGTGTAATTATTAAGCAAAAGTCATAGTCTTTAATTTATAAAATTACATATACATGTGTTTGATAAAGAATCTGAAAAAGAAAATGAATTATTAATTCGATTGTCATCATAAATAATCTTTTGTTAATGTTATTATGCGATACATAAAAAATGCATTCCCACTCGTTCACTTTCACATTTTTCAGTACATGATAGAAACTAGAAATGAAATTTAGAAAATAAAATTCAGATTACTTAATACTGAAAATAAGTGAATGTGACTATATAAAAATTTAGATCTTTTTATAAAATCTAAAATATAATATATAATTATGTCTAGATATATCAGACTATTTAATTTTTAATAGTATATATTCATTCATACATATTCAAAAACTTTCTAAATAATTTAATACTATACTATGCTTTAAAAAAAATGTTATTTGAAATATTACTTTAAATTTATCTAAAATAATCAGCACAATATTCATAATATATCGAAATTTAAACTGAAACTATTAGCATTCTCTAAATATGTATGGTGTTAATGGAAGTATTCGGAGCAAAATTTACAAATAAAATATGCTTCTAATTTAGTGTGATTTATTATAAACAAATATTGTTAATAATGCTATTTATTTTTAAGTTTCAATTGTCATAAGTTTTTTTTTTATATAAAGGACATTTAAAAATTTTATGTATGTGGTAATTGAAGTAGTTGAGTATACTCATGATTTTTGTTTTAAACAAATTTTAAACTTAATATGAAAATTATTTGAAGTAAAAGAGAGCATATCTTTGAAAGTATTTTAAAGGTAAATTGGACTATAAAAAACAGGTAATGCAACACCAAGAATATTTTCACGTATAAAGAAATTGATCTGGATGTAAAAGTTTGTGAGTGGCAATAGTGGACTTGATATTATACCATTAATTTTCCTTATCTGCATGTCTTTTTTATTAACATATTTTAAACTATCATGTTTATTTTCATAAAAAGTTTTAGATTATCTTGAGATAATACAAATAGTTCCAATATTTTTTTTTTTAACTTTTTTTTATACATTTCTAATATTCTAAAATAATGTTATATATTCTGTATAGTACTATAGATTACATTTGTACTATAGATTTAGATAGAATAATGTACTATATAGGCTTCATTTTGCATTTTTATTAAGTCAAGAAAAAATTCCTTTCTTTAAATAACACACAAGAATAATATATCAAAATTTAGAAATAAAGATCTCTAAACTCAATATACCAATTTTATGCAATTTGCATCAAATATAAATATAAAATTATTTTTATTTAAAAAAAAAAAGTATGTAAAAGATTCTTTTTGTAAAACAGATCAGTAAGACTATTGTAAAATTTTGATTGTTAAAATATTTGTCTGAACAGAAAACAAAACTTGATGCTTTTAAGGTACAAATGAGTGAATTTATCATTGAAACTTATATGAGTGCCTAATTAAAGAGATTGCTAATTTGAAGATGCTGCTCCCATATAGGTTTCATTTATGCAAGATATACACTTCCTCAGTTTTCCTCACTTAGAAGGAAAATTTATGCCAATATTGATACTTAAAAATCTGAGATTTCTTTAATATTTCATTTGATAAAACATTCTTGTGTAGGTTGTGGGCTCAAAAATTTAGTTCATGACTGAAACAATAATTTATTTCTAAATTTCTCATGAACATTTAATTGGAATGCATTCATGTCCATCTTTATCACTTCAGTAGCATAAAAGCTATTTTGTCAGTTTGTAAATAAACGCTGTACATACATTCATTAAAAAAAATATACTTAAAAATACTTAAAAATTTATTAAATTATTATTATTATTAAACTTATTTAAAAATATACTCAGATTAATGTGTTGCACAGCTGTAAAACTAATCAATTTCATAAAAGATAAGCTGATAATTAAATATAACAATGTGGTAGTATTGTTATGCTTAATTATATTATGCTGGGTTGTGCCATTAATAAAAGTACATTTTACAGAGCTATCCTGTGTTACAAAAAGTACTGAGTTGAATTAAAACATAATTTTGGCTAATTTAATATGATATAAAAATACTATTTCTATCAATTCTAGAAATTCATATTTTATTTGCGCAAAATATACATACGGGACTCGGTTTACAAAATTTGAAAAGTTGTTAATCTAAGTTTTATATGATGCATATTTGAAATTACCATATATTCCAACGTACAATGCACACTTGTTATTTCAAACTACATTTTAAAATTTTTAGGTATATTTGCCATATTAATATGAAGCCTTTTGCCAAATGCGTCATGCAAGTCTAAAAATAATGGGTGAGAGAATAATAAAAGCATGGAATGAAATTAAACCCAACATAATTCAAAAGTCATTTAAAAAATGTAGTATATATAGATGTAGATGGAATGGAAGATAATTGTTTATTTATGGGTCAGAGTAATTAGATAATACAGCATTTCAACTTGACAAATATGACAAACTTTTCATATTATATGATAATGACAAATTTTTAAGTTCATATGGTATGTCATTTTTTAAAAAATAAACAGTATTTAGGTACATGTAGAAATCTAATTTTTGCATACTCATCTTTTCCATATTTTTAAATGTATAACTTTTATATTCAGCATATAACATGCACCTGTAAATTTCGACTTAATTAAATATTTTCTATTAAAAATGCGCGTTGTACACTGGAATATACGGTATATGAATTTAAATCACAATGTAGCCTGATCTTTGTAGAATTAACTAATTTACAAATACAGTCAAAAGTCGTTAATTCGGACACCCATAATCCGGAATGATCTATAACCTGGACCTCAAAGCTAAAAACTTTCTGCGCATGCGCCGCGTTGGCACATGCGCACAGGCGTTTTACGCGTGCGCTAAAGACCTTGACTACTGCGCATATGCGTGTGCGCAAGTGCAGAATACGTTTTCGCCTGCGCGTTTAATGTATAACGGACGGTGTAAGCTAAAATTATCTAATTATCTATTTCAGTTAATGTTAATGATTGCGTTGTTCCTTAATCTTCGAATAGGATCCCGCTTATTATTTTTTGCAGACTGTAAGAGCAATTTTATAAAAGTAAACTTGAACTTTCGATTATGTCAAATAGAATTTCCGATGCTGGAACTTCCAAAGGATCTACAAAACGAAAGTATGTTTCGATGTCCAACAAACAAAAAGTGAATTGCTGCAAAAAATGGATAAAGACATGAAGAATGTGACAGAGAGGTTAGTGAAAAACGAAAAAATTTCCATTGACAAGTTAGTCGGTATTCTCGGCACAGCAATTAACGGGACTTGAACAGCGGAACTTTTAACTGAACAAGAAATTATGTCTTTTTATAGAATTAAAGAGAAAGTATTATATCACATAAAATGAAGCAACTTAAACAACTTACATTGAAAGAAATGTTTAATAAAGTAAACAAATAAATATTAAGCTTTTTTTTTTTTTTTTTTTTGTAAATTTTGATACCCTTTAGATCATAATTGTTCTTTATTTCATAAATTACGGTTTCATATTTTTAATTTTAGAATTTCTGCATGCCATCTTACGAGATTTAAACTGATGATCTATAATCCGGAAAAATCGATAATCCGGAATCGCCGAAGTCCCGACGAGTCCGGATTAACGACTTTTGACTGTATTATATTTATTGATGTTTAATGTATTTAAAAGAAAAAAAAGTTTCTCTTCATATATAGCATGAAGATTTTTAAGTTTAGAATTTATCAAACAATCTAAAAATTGAAGTAAAACTAATTTTTGGTATCTAAAATATCATGGATTGATTTACATTGCTTAACAGTTTAAAATAAGGAACATCTACCTACTCTTTACAGTTTACATTTTATAATAAATAGTTTCTAAGTTATTAAAACATAAATACAAAAATACTATGAAAATAACCAACAATGAATGTATTATGCAGCATAATATATTCATTAGCATCTTATCAAAAAATTCTTATAATGCTGTCCTCATTATTTGCAAAGTAAGTGTTAGGTGTGCAAAT